AGTAATATTATTACCAAATTGTTCTCTTCCAGGCAAATGAAGATTGGGAAGGAATCTTGGTTGCCAACCCACCTTGCTTGACTATATACCATTGCAGTTGTAATATACCCCATGTATTAGGAGACACATGACATGTGCCTGACATTGCAGTTATTTTTTGTACAAAATATATACTATATTAGTAACCAATTTATTAGTCTGGAACACAGCCTCAAAAATCCTTGGGACTCTGCCTTAGACTGCTATATTCATGTCTGTCTGTATAATACTGTGACTGTTTAGAATTAGGTGCCAAATTGATTTTGACAAAAATCCATTTGAGGAACAATAAATGTATCCAAAGATGAGTTTACCTATTTTTTTTTTTTAGCTAGGAAGTGATCGTTGAAGGGATTCAATCTCTTACTTAACAATTTAAATTTGCCATTTGGACCATTTCCTTTGATTTGCAGATTTGGTCTGTCATTTCTCAATAACATGTGTTTCGGATGAATTATCACAAAAAAACACTTGCTAAAACTTGAAGGTTCAAGATGGAATTTGCATTGTTGAGATATTAGACTAGAATTTACATATTTTATTGTTCTAAATGTGGAACTGCATATTAAAAAATCACATATCACAGGCCTGTAGCCAGCTTTTGCCAAGTAAAGGGGAAGGTTCACTTTTCAGAAAAATTCCAGGGGGAACTTTGACAGATTTGGCTCAAAATCACATGAAAAATGATCAGAATTGTGAAAATTGCATGATTTTGAAAGAATTTTTGGCAAGGGGGATTCGCTCGAACCTCGTGAACCCACTCTGGCTACAGTCTAGTAGCACATTTCGTACAAGAGAAGCACCATGGCAACCAATAGCCTAGTATACATGTAGATAAACTAGATAAGTTCATTGTGTTTAGACAAAGCAGCACTGTAATATATGATGGTTAACTGTATATAATCTGATCCTTTACTAATTAGCTTCTTGGTGGCTAATTGAGGTAGCTGTTGTGGTGGCATTTAAGGTAGCTATTTAAGGTTGCATTTAACTGGTGACTATTTGAGGTAGCTATTTGAGGTAGCTACTGATAATGGCCACTTGAGGTAGCATTTGTGGTCACTATTTGAGGTAGCTGTTTGTGAGATATTTTTTTATCAAATGTGGGCAACCTCTGGAGTCATCATCACCACAGGTACAAATCTAGCATCCAAGCGAAACAGTCTAGATATCAAAGAGTTAATGCATGAATGTATTGGTCTTGCTTTAAATGTGGAGTACATTTGTAATAAAAAAAACATGTAAAATTTACTGTACATACACGAAGATATAAGTCATGATCTCATCAATTATAACTCAATACTTATTTCATGTATTTTTGGTAATGTCTTCTAGAATTGCTTTGTAAACTGAATGTGTACCTTGCTGTGATTTCAAATGTGAAAATTGCAGTCCAAAGAAATGCCTCTGATATGTGGACACATATGTTCAAGAACATTGACTAATTCCTTTATGGGTGCTGCAACCTACTGAGATTTTGGTAGGCAGTTCTATCCACTTATTTGCACCCACTTGAAAATCATGAAAAAGGCATGTTTTGAATCTGTTGTATACTGTACACCAACTTGAAAAACATATTTGGGAAGAAGACTGGACTGTGTGTACAAGATTATTGAAGGAATTTTATGAGTATTTTGTGATAAAAGTGATTAAATATTTCACTATATGCTGGTTAATGAATAGATTGTTGGGACACAGACTTGTGATTTCATTATTAAGGAGTTAGTATGTGATATTAGCTCACAATTAATGTTATCAACTGAATGGATGAACAGTACTTTTACAATGACAAATGAACAAAAATGGAACTAAAATTGCAGTCAATGCAGTGATTTTCATTCACAGTCTTATAGATTCTCTCAACCCATCAATATTTATAATAATTTGGAAATGAGTCCAGCTTTTCTATACACTCAAAATGTCAAGAATCAAAATAATCTTTCTGGATATTTTTATATAAATTTTGATTCTGCAATAAAATGAACTGTACATATGAGTATAAGTTTCAAATAAACGTTTTTCACTCTCAAACTTGACAAGTTCCATTGTGAGGCACAGCCCACATAATGAAGTGAAAGCTACATTTTGATGTGAGGTTTTTCTGATACTGATATTCAAATATCTGGATTCCTACCTACGACCTTAATATATCAGGTGTCCCAGAAAAAGTCAATCTCTTGTTGATAAGTATTTCTTAGCAATAGATGAACCAAATTTATTGTAGGGCATCAGTAATAACTCTGTATTGTCAAATTCAAAATAGTATGTAAAAAAATCTACTCTGTATAAATTCTCAACGAAATTAGTTAATCTATTGCTTAAATATTCATTTTAAAAAGTGGTTCACTTTTTCTGAGACACCCGATATTGGAATAATAGATGATAGCAATAGTACTATAAAAGCCAAGTAATGGGCCAGCTGCATTTTAAAATGCCCAATTGCTAGCAGGTTACCCATGCAATAAATGAAATACTTAATGTGACAAAATGTAACAGGGTCAGTCTTCAGGGATGTCATACAGGCATTTGTATCTAATGTAGTTATGTAGAAAATATTCATATTTTGTGAAAAATGTCAATGTTAACACCTAGAATAATGTGAACACTTTTGCATGGATATTTGTACTATTAATCTTGAAATATTTCCCTTTCTTGCATGCATCTTTATAAACAGATCTTTGAATATGTCATTTGAATAAATATGTGATGTGGATGTATATACACAATGTGAACACATCTAAAATGTGAGCGGAAGTAATGTGAACATTATTAGCACATACAATGTGAACAACTATGTAATGTAAAAAGTGAACATACAGTAAAACCTGTCTAAGTGAACTCCTCTTTCTAGTGAACACATCTTATATTTACTCCTGTATAAAATCCCCTCTCTGTTGTGAACACTTACCTCCAGCAAACACCTTTTTGTAGATCCATAGGTGTTCACTATCACGCGGTCCTAACTTCAACCGTTAATTTGAATTTTTGACCTACCAGATGTTTAAAAAATCAGGGATTACGAGTCTCATACTGCACCGTTTTTCTTCAAACTTGTTCCATTCAAAGCATAACAAAAATCCCTTTCTGATGGTACATTATTCTCTTAAACAGAGTCCCTACTTCCAGCTGCATTCCCCAGCTGTAAGAAGGCCTAACAGCTGGGGACCAAAACGCTGCTAGAACGAGGGACTCTTTACAATAAAGCAATGCACCGACAGAAGGACAATTTTATTTTGCTTTTAATGGTATAGGTTTGAAGAAAAACGGTGCAGTATGAGACTCGCAATCCTTGATTTTCAAGCATCTGGTAGGTAAAAAATTCAAATTAACGGTCGAAGTTAGGACCGCGTGACTATATAAGGTTTTACTGTACATGTATCTGCATTGTGAAGAATGAACATATACGATTGAAAAATATGGATTCTTATGAAATAGGATCTACTGAGCTTCCCTATACACCCTTCACCCATACACCCTAGCACACAGCCACAAAAATAATAGTAATCCTCCATTCATTAACACTGTACTATTTGGCTGTTTTTGTGGCTGTGGCTTAAACTGCAAATTAGTATAATCTGGGGTCAAAGTTCAAAGTTGTCATTGGTGATGTAATATATTACAGACATGAAATAGCAATGGTTATTTTAGTACTTGAATCTTGGAAATGATCAGAAATCTGAGAATTGACTATTGTATGTTATATTATTGTACACAATTTACAATAAAATACAATGGAAAGTTATCACATGTAATTGTGTGTTGGTTAATGCCATATTTTGCTACAACAAAGAAATCAGGGTAATCCTCATCAATGATTGAATTCTCGGTAAAACTATTTTATTCAAAAGATGGTTTATTGGACTTGAATTGTCTATATTAACTGTTCTGAAAAGGTCATGAACATATTTTTCCAACAGAGTATAACAGATTTAGTTGTTTATATTAGTTGTTCATTTTCTTTGAAGATACATCAGACATGTTAAAGTGGGTCAGTAAAAGAATGTAACAAAAACGAAAAAGTATTCAGTTTTCTTAATTTATTCTCCAATATTCTGTGACTAAGAAAATTATAATAAATGATAAACAAAGAAATGCAGAAACTATTCATGAAAAGAATAAGAAAGCATTACAATTAAAGGCTGTAGTAATGACCACTTGTCTTCATTGTATCAGCAAAAGCGACTAGTTCAATATAAAAATAGGTTTTGATCCGAGTTCCCATAAAACTACAATACACTTTAAATCAATTTTAAATTGTAAAATAATTTCATTTATAAACATCCATTTTATACCTCCAGGGTATCCTGTGCGTATGCATGTATTTATTTACACATTTTAAATTTATATCACATCATATTGCATTTATTCTTGTTTCTTAATCTCATATCAAATTGTATCATAAAATGTGACCACAATATATTTCAAGCATTTATTTTCACTCAGAGATTTTACTTCTCTGTACATCATATCTATCAGGCCCGTAGCCAGGATTTGCCAAGGGGGGGTTCAATTTTCAAAAATTTCCAGGGGGGGTTCACATTTGACAATTTTGGCCCAAATTAGGCTAAAATCACTTGAGAAGTGCTCAAAATGGTCAAAAACTGCATGATTTTGAAAGAATTTTTGGCCAGGGGGGGTTTCGCCCGAACCCTGCGAACCCCCCCTGGCTACGGGCCTGTCTATGTACAATGTACATCATACATGTATCTCTGTACACAATATCATTGAACTTTATATTTTTATACACTATAAATCTATACATCATTCTCTGTACCTCATACATTTATCTTTGTGCATCATATCTTTTTGTATTTTTTCTATACATCATGTCTCTGACTGTACATGACATCTATATATATGCAGTTCCCATAGAAATAAATGTATTTGATCAGTTTTCAGTCCCATAGAACACATTTCCACTAACTAAACAATGTAATAGCTATGGCAGCAAGGCATATTATAGCTAGATGTGTGTCATAAACATGTAACCATGTTTCTATGGCAACACAGTTGATCTGAACAAAGCTAAATGTTTGTCAGTTACTTCTAACCGATCATCTTTATACTTCTGACCCTGTGACTCCAATTGTCTAAAGTGCCGATTTCTGTTTACTTTTGCCCGCTGGTGCTGTCGATCAATGGCAGCATTTTGAGCCTCTTCTTGATTTAGACGCTGTGTATGTTGATCTGAACGAATTTGAGATCTCTGCTCTTTGGTGACCTGAAGTATCAGAAATTAATATGATTATTAATTTTTGAATCATTAAGATTGTGATGTCAATCAAGAAACATTAGCAAGCTTACACAATTGTAAAAAGAAAAAATGTACATGTAAATACAATTAATGTCATTCAGATATGATTAAAATAGTTGTATTCATGTAGAAGAAATTCCTTGAATTTTTGGTAATCTCAATATTGGTATTCCATTGACTCCCAATGTGAACATTTAGCTCATATTTTTGGAGTTTTCACCTTAGAAAGACTTTACAATGTATTGTATGCTGATTGCTGAAATAAAAAAAATTCTGTACCTGTCTTGCTTGCTGTATATTTTCTCTCTCAATATTTCTTTCTTGTACCAAGCTATCTCGCATTTCACCCTTTGCTCTAAGTGCTTCAAATTTTCTAGAATCCCTTCCTTGTTCAAATTCAGTCTTCCTTTCAAAATGTCCCCGAATTTCACTAGCAATGAGCCGTTTTGCCTCCCGTGTGTTCTGCACTTGAGCCATGTGGTTTGCATGACGATCTTGGTCTCTAGAGAGTTGGGCCCTGATTCGTGATTGGTGACCATCTTCAAAATATTGCTTCATGCGTTCTGATTGGTTGTTACGATCAACAATTGCTTGCTGGCGATCTATAGATTTCAGTAATCTGTAATTAAGAGATGCAATTTAATTATTCATTGTAACATATTACATTTCAATACGATAGAAAAATTTGATGAACAATGCATGTTCCAACAAGAATAAAGGAAGCTGGCTAAAACGTGTCCAACCGCTTGAGGGAGGAAAAAATCAAATATTTTAGTGAAAAAGAATGAAAGTAAATATGTAGAAATCCTGGGACTCACTTATTGTTTCTTATCATTTGTTGTCTTTGCTCTTCAGCAATCTGTCGTCTTCCTAAACCAATACCAACTTCCACCCCTGGACCTTGTCTACGTGGTTGTGATGGGGGTTGTGGATGACGGAGAAGATATTCGTTAATCCCTCTATCATAAGTGCTGCCACCTAGCTGGTCCACAGTATCAAAGGCAGGAGTTGTCCATTCAACTGTAATATAAAATGGAAAAATAACTTGGTGAATACATTTAGTTATACATCTGTATTTTTATTTACTGCAAATAGTGTTTCATTGCTTCCAGATATGAGAGATAAAACCCATATAAACTACAGCTATACTTTCAAATATAAACCAATCAATAGCCCAATCCCTGATTGAGTTTGTTGAAGAACATCATTTATAGATTAGACTAGATTCTTGAAGATGAAATCTAAAAAGTTAGTGTGGTGAGGAAAGGTTTATAATTTTTTACAAATGTGATAAAGATTTTTAACTTACCACCATTCTCATTATATAGAGGTTCCCTATTCTCAAGTGGCACAGGGGTTCTGCTTTCCTCATAAGGTTCATGTGTTGGAGGTCCTATGATGTCAGGCGAAGGGTCGCTACTCCAGTACTTCCAACGAGGTTTCCTTTGTGACTTTCCAGATCTTGTGCGTCTGTGATGTCTCTCCCTTGGGACATCCCTGGGGTCTGGTTGATAGCTTTGAAATTCATGATTGTAATCTAGTGAATAATCAGACGTCCCGATTCCACTGTCTACTGGATCATCTAAGTATTCGACATCAAGGTCAATATCATCATCAAACTCTGTCTCAAGATCACTATGACTTTGATTTTTATCGAGGTCAAATTCAACTGATTTAGTACGACGTAAACTTGACCTTGGTGTCATACGTGATCGTCTTGATAATAGTTTCTCACTTCCACCGGATGACTCTCTGTTACTTTGTAACATGAGTTTATGATCCATTATTTGTGACATCACTTTCTCGTTAAGTTCATCTTTAGTCATTTCTGTACCAGGAATCAATCGGTCCATATCTGAACCCTGTACAAAGCTAGGTTTCTTTGGCGTGTATTTATGGACTATAGGATATATGGGTACATAATCTGGGTGATAATATGGAGCTCTGTCGTAATTCAAAACTGGTTCCCCATGGTGGCCGTTCACCATAACTGGCTTGGCATGTTCATATTCTACAGGGTTACGAATCGATCCAGATGTTGGGTAACCTGGTTTGTTTTCCTCAGGGTATTCTGGGTACTCATCATCCTCCGTCATTTCATTGCGAACTTTCGCAGGAAGTTGGAGCTCAAACTTGATGCGTTCATGCAGAGCATCTGGTACCCAAACTGCAACATTTAGTGGGACCTTCTCGGTTTTTCCATTGAAAAAGTTAACTGTTAACTCCTTGTCTTCACAAGTTCCTGAAATATAAATATAATTTTTAAAAAACATCTTAAAAACCATAGGCTATGTTAAAAACAATGAAATAATTGTCAATCAAACATGGTCACTCATGTTTACATATTGAATAATATTTTCAATTTTGTGAAATAATTTAAAGATATAATTAAGGCCACTTTTTGCAAAGGAGCAGTTCCACAAAAATGTTTATTCAGTTGACAATGACTGACAACTAAGTCAATATAGCAGGCTAAACATTTTGCTTGTACATACCATCAGTATATCGCTTTTCTACACCCTCAAGCACCACGCCCGGTCCAAACTTTTCCCCTTGGTGTGTCCAGGGAGCAAGCACCTTGTCACCAACCACAATTGCATGACGCTGAGCATCTTTGTATGAGATGATGTCATGGTTAAATGTCTCTTGGTACACAGTATCAGTGAATCTGCCATGTTTACAAGGGCCAAACTCAACCAAGAATTTGTGAGACATAATCTGTGAAAATAAAAATATTGTTATAACATACTGCACATGCTTCTAAAAGACTTTACACAAATGATTTATCTATTTTATCTTACTGGAATTTGCATGTACGAGAGATTGGAATAAAAATTTGATTTTGATATTTAAAGAGGCAATCTCATGGCATTTGATACCTGCTTAAATCTTGATGCCATTTGTATAATTTTGCTGTTCTAAATATTTTCAAACCTCACCTCTGATTTGACAGTGCCCCTATAATAGTAACCATTTTCTTTCCTCCTAGCCAGAACATCATTTCCTATCAGTAGAGCGCCTGCTCCTGGAGCATACATAGAGATGTTGTCTGCGGTTTCAATCTCTTTCTGACCTTGCAACCAAGCCTTAGTTGGTCTGTATCGTGACCACCAATAGGGGGAGTACCCTGGCCAAGATTCAAATGGCCATAGATGACGGTAGTGGTTAAAGTATTTTGGGACAGGAAAGATGATGTTTGATCCGTCACCACCCATATAAACTGAAGGTGTGATAACGGGTGCAGTGACTGTTGGCGGAATTGCAAAGGAACCATTACCAAGAAATACTGTAGGAGGGATTACAACTTCAGGTGTATTGACGGTTGCTGACACTGAACATGTTTTAATATTAGGGTAGATTGATCCATCAGTGGTCCTAATTACACGTTCATTTGCATGGTCAGATCTGTAAATTGGGGTGACCTTTTCTATGGCCCCATTGTTAGTTATAGACACAATATGAAACGATCCATACGTTTCCATAGCCATATCTTCTAAATAGTGGGTGGCTTCATCTGAAGAAGTTGATGAGGTTAAATATATGCAATGAACTGGTCGCCCTTTTGAAGCATAATGGACATGATCGAGTAGTTCATTTGTATTACAATCTGGAAGTCCATCTGTAACAAGGTACACCGATTCACAAGACTGATCAGCCAGAGCCAACAATAAAGCTTCCTTCGTATTAGTGCCTGTTTTGGCACTCAGATTTTTTATCCATTCCTCTGCTATAGCGACTGTCTGTGGTTTACATTTTACAAGTCTATCTGACCACTGTGTAACCTCTGTGTTGAATTCAATGATATTGAACATTGTCCCTTGTTTGTTGTGTGCCCTATCACGAAGTACTTCTATCAAGTGATCTTTTACTGCATCAATGAGTTGGTACATGCTTCCTGATGTGTCAATACAAAATGTCACATTTTTCTCCCTGACCACCCCAAACAGGGTTGGGATACCAGCAGGTGATGGAAATTCCATGTTGATTTGGTTTTTTACTTGGATTCTACCTAAAATACAAATTTCATCAAATATAATGTATTATACAGTAAAACCTGTCCGATGGAATACCTCTCTGTAGGGAAAACCTATGAACAAGGAATGCTTTTCAAAAGAACCGAATATTTTTCCATTGACTTACATGTTAACGGACCCTCTCTGTAGCGAAAACCTGTGAACAGGGAACAAGGAACACTATTTTGGGGCAAATTATGAAAATTCACCTGTGAACAAGGAATATGGAATATTGGTGACACTGTATATTCCATTATTTTTCAGAGGTGTGAAAGTCTTAAGCCAATATCTGAATATAAAAAGCTTAGATATATGATTATGAGAATATGATTGAGATTAAGATAAGCCAATTGTTGACATGATGTAGCATCCCACCCCCTGTTAATTACCCTGATTTATTTCAAAACTAATACTAATCTGTTTGTTACTTATTATCATGACACCAATTCTTCCTTTCAAAAACCTAATTACATCAAATCAGTTGTGATAATCTAGGGACTAACACAATTGTTTTATGGAGATAATAGATAGTAAGTACACGGTCATGTTGAGCCAAATCTCTTTAAATCTTTTACTGATCCAACTTCTAGATTATCAATGATATAAAATAGGGTTGCTGAAACTTGAAATTCTGTTCTTAGCAATATATCTCTACACATCATACCAATGATTACATCAACTAGACATCATCAGACACTAGAAGCAGCTAAAATCAACATGGGGAGAACGTAACCAAGTATGGAATTGGCATTTGTACAATCAATCAATATATATACAAATATTCTTATTCCGCAAGTTTGAGTTTGCTGAAAGTGCGGCCCCTCTCTATAGGGAAAACCTCTGAACAAGGAAACTTTCCTCCAGTCCCAAGAGCATTCCCTGTTCGCAGGTTTTACTGTAATTAGGTTCAGACAACAAGTACAGTCACACATATGTAGATGAGAGAATCTATGCACCTAAAACGTACTGTATGTGTGATCTTGTTTTTTTATTCTGGCTTACTAAGGACTAGTTTTGTCGCGATGTGCCATAATCGTACATCGATGCATCGGCAATTTTCAGTTGTAAACATCGATGCACATCACGATGTACATCGAGAAAAAGTCTGAGAAAAGTGCACTGAAATACCGAACGCTTATGCACTAAAATACCGAACAGAACAAATTAATAAGAGTGCCCTGGTACATCCGGGAACTTCTAGTAACGGTGAAATGAAAGTAAAGTCATTTTTTTAGATTAATGGTTCATTTCAGCTAAAACAGTTTAAAAGCGAAAGAATATCAGAAAACATAGGAAAATGAAATAAGACATGAGAAAGGTAAGCGAATAAGATAAGAAAGGGTGATCTTTAGCAAATTAATTTTTTTTAAAACATCAATGTTTTGTTTCAGACATCGATGCATCGCCAGAATCAGCTTTGGCGATGTATATCGCGATGTATCGATTAATCGAGACAACACTACTAAGGACAATTAGACATGAGATCTATAAATGCTAATATTACTACAGTGTATGTGTTCATAGAAATGAAACATTTATATAACAAAAATTGAGTACCAAGTCCATGTGAATCAAGAAAACCACATGTCATTGTATAGATTACCAATACCCTCAGTAAAAAATCATGAAAAAGCACCTGTCAAACCACTTCTAAGTCATTTATCATGATAAAAGTAAAAGACACTCTACCATTTCTCACCTTTGCATACTCTTCTGATATATAAGTTCAATTAGAACGTAGTTTAGAACGCCTAAATGGATTATGACATCTGTAGAACAGTTTCTAATGAGGTAAACAGATTGTTGTCAAGAAAACCCTCCATTCATAAACATTGAGATGCATGATGGGAGCAACAAAAATCAATTAGTTTTTTTTCAAAGCTTGTGATTGACCATAATTTATAGATAATCAATTGTATTATACTTAATTGTTGAGATTAAATATAAAGAGATATTTCAATGATATCATAGTTTAGTGAAAAATGATTAAAAACGAAGTCTCGTTATTTCGAGACGTTGACTCCATTTTGGCAAGGTCACTGTCTCGGAAAAGAAATCTGGCATAAAACTACAAATATGTTTGCCCTAGCCCGTCTCCGGACCGCGGCAACTAATCTAAGACCTAAAGTATGCAATGGTCAAACTCGTAATATGAGCCTTTACCCGTAAGTATAAGCAACTACTTAGATACAGTCGATTTTAATGTTTTTTCGTCGATAAAAATTATTTTAAAAAATTATTTTATTTTGCTAACCTTAGTCTAGACCCCTAGGTCTACGTCTAGAGTCTAGACTAGCCAAAAGGTAAATAGTCATAATTTTATTGTACAGGAATGACATTTGTATATTTCAGACAAATTAGTTTTATGTGCAACCATCCTGTGACCTCTGTAAATTACAGTGTATTTATAAGTTTCAGCTTATATCTTTCAAAGGCTGACTCATGACTATAGTTCGACAAGTTTTACTCGAGTCTCTAGCTTACAGCTAGACGTAACTTCATTGATTTCGTATGTACTCTAGAAAAGGTGCTACACGCACCTAGAACTCATTTTTAATAAATTTTATAAATATTTTAAAGAATATTAATCATATTTAGGATGAAGCGTTGCTTGTCTGGATTTAGATATTTCAAAATTTCATTTCGGAGTTTGACACATGGTGAAATTTTCTCGCTGTAGCTAAAAATGGCTTCCGGTTCTGGGCGTGAATAAAATTTGAAATTATTCTCGCTTAAAGAAATCAAATATAACAATCGATTCAGACAGGGATGTGAGCGGATGTTCTTCAAATCTATACATAAAGGTATATTTCATAGTATTACATACCTAGCGAAGCATTTGTATGGAAGTCAATGGGAAAGTTAGCGAGCTATATCCACCGGTATTGCCCAATTACCCCGATATAGCCCGCTTACCTCGTTTTGATATTAGATTTCTTTAATAACCATGATAATATCATGACGTCACGTCATTGATACAAAGTAACCATGGGAACAAAGGCATGTAATACATCAGTTATGTCACTATGACGTGAAATATGCCTTCGTTCTTGCCCAAATATAGAGCCTCCCAAGGTCGGCCTATATTGGGAGAACTCAGGCATATTTCACGTCATAGTGACATAACCTCTAATTATTATGCCATATTTATTGTGCGTGTGACACAATGATTTACAATATTTATAATACTAAGGCAGCTCAATCTTCCTACTCAAAGCCGGAATATAGAGAAGGCTTTGGACCGAAGTAAGACAAGTTAAACCCAATACCACGGCTTTTATTTATTAATCTGAATGCTCTTGTTGCCGTGATTGGGTTTTACTTCCGTGCTATGCTTTCATTGGTAGCAAATTCTCACTATCAGTTATTAATAAAACGTGCATCGAATTCCATGCATTACCATAGGCTACCATTGGATTTTTTGCATCAAAGGCAGAATAGGCACAGATGTTAAACCTAGGGCGGGCCACAAGATATGTAAGATAAGAAATAAGGCCCAGACTAGGTTTAACTTGTTGAAGTAACTCATGACTTGATACATCCGTCCCTTTGTCTGGGCGATAACTCAAATACTGTTGGCCCAATTTGTTCATATTTTGTACATTTCTGTAGATTTTCAAAATGGCCACTTGTTTAAAAATGGGACAACCACCGTGTATCGGCGAGAAAAGTAACAACTTAAAATTAATCTCAGATAACAAGTTTTGCGCAACATGCGCAGTTCTCTTGTTACGTTCAAAAGATCCGCCCTGCATGAGCAAACCCAGAAGTAGACTGAAAATGTAAGTTTCTTACTTCGATTAACTATTTTGTTGGTTATGTTCTGTTCCATCCCGAAAGTCCCGTCCCGAAATGGATAATTCCAGTCCCATCCCATCCCGAAATATTTTTGTCCCATCACAACCCTATTGGACGCCCTTCTCATTCTCCACTGATTTATGTATAAATTACGCTCTCTGCAATGAACACCTACATAGAGTGTACAAAATTTGGAGGATCTTTCGAAATTTCAATAAAATAATGGAGGCTGGAAACAAATTGTAAGGTCTATTTCAAAATTTATCTATTTTCTAATAGGCCTACCACAAAGTATTACCATTCCATTTCAATGGGCCAATTTATGTGGAAATCAACCATGTGGTTTTTCTAATCACGTGTCTAGGGGAAACGAAATGTCCTACCTATCACTCACTACAGAATAGTGACAGCTGAAACTGAAAAAATCAATTGCAGTAGGCCTACTTTATACCTCTAAATGTTTCCTACATTTCCATCATCCATTTGAATGTGAAAGTCTGTAAGCTGCTCGTTGAGTGGATATTTTGTACTACCAAACTGGCAGTTTTGACAGAAATTCATAAAATAGTGTTCGAAATCTCTGGAGATTTCTGAATGAACAATTACAAATTGCTGAACTTCCTGTAGCTCTCATTCTGGAGCAGCTGTTAACTAACAGACATTAATTTGGGTTTTCTGGATAAATAATTCGAGGTAATAGATATCAGTCATAGTCGTTGTTGCTGTTGTCTAGTTGTTGAAAACAATTAAAAAAATTCAACAATTTAAACGGCCCCAACCACCTTATAACCCGAAGTTCACCAAAAGAAGTCGAATTCCTGGGGATTTTGGCGACTATTTAAGTTGATATCTTAGATAGCATCTATATGACCTGTCATCAGTCCATTCAGTTTTGAAAAATTCAAGATTTTTACATTTAGTTAAAGTTTTTCTAAGTACACGTGTACTTGATGTTAAATTTTCATGGGGTCGATCATATGCCATTGCGTCATTACCACAATATGCCTATGGTAAATCTGGTTTTCTTGAAAAAATCTATCAGCATATTTTCTTTGTAATTTCAGATGGAGATACCGTGTGTTGAGTACCCCTCCTAGCAGTGTAACTATGCTAAAGGCAGAGATGATCGGGGGATTCTTCTGGTTCTGGGTGCTATACCACTGCTATAAGCAGCCAGAGCATATAGTTGTAAGTTCTAAATCTGTTTATGGAGAAAGATTTGTGAATAACTCGATAGAGTAAATAAGGCAGTGGTCTCCCCAGGCCTAGCCTATCGTTAAAGCAATTAATCAGCTACTGCACCATGTGAAAATTTGAAAAATTACATGCCATCCAGTGTTTGCACTCTGTCAATATGATAATACGTATACTGTAAAACGGGTATTGTTAACGAGGGGTAATTGTTAGCGATTGTTAGCGATCGCTATAGTTTCGCTAAAAATTCAATTCGCTAAAATAAACCGGGGTTATAATAAACCGGGCGCTAAAATTTGCAAATTCCCAGGAAACTACATGAATACTAGTATTTAAGGAGCTTTTCGTTCAGTGCTCGACTTCCGGTTTGTAGTTTGATAAAGGTAAATATTTTTAAAATTAAATGATACCGTGATTTTGTGATTAGTCAGATGAGATTACAGTAGTTTGGACCAATACCATGTGCGTTAGAAGTCTTACATTTTGATAATTGCTCTGTCATGTCCGTTATTCATTCTTCTGCCATAAATGATAAAATTTCTAATGCATTTCGCTAATTTGATTTTATAAAGATCTTCATTTCGCTAAAATTTCCCGCGCTAAAACCCCCTAAAATTGAAAAATCGCTTAAATTTCCCGGTGTCAAAATTACCCGTTTTACAGTATTGGCATATTTTGACCAAAAAAGGTCAAGTTACGACTACGTACATAAATAAATGCATTTGATTTGTTGATTAAAATACTTGGAGGTCAAGATCACAGACTGATGTCTGTCAATGTCAACAGTTGTAAAAAAGTTATATCGTTAACCAATTTGACCCCATGTCTTAATGCTTATGTAATTTATTGCTTGAGATTGATGTTTAAAACGAGGGCTTCAGAAATAACAAAATTTCATTGAATGAAATGTAATATGATTGACAAAATAATAAAATTATTGTATTGTTTTCAGGGCCATTGGGATTATCCAGATCCAAGTAAATGGACTGATAAAGAATTAGGTATTCCCCCAGATGAAGAGGACCCATAACTACACAATCAAATAGGATTTACACAAATTAGCTAATTATGTACATATTGACATTTTCATAGTCAGTCTAATCCACATATTCAAGAAACTACTCCAATTGAAGGCTATTTTCCGTTCATTTCATGGAATACTTGGATGTATTTTGTGACTGTGCGTTAGACTAGGATTCAAAGTGTATACATTTGAAATAGTGCATCATAAGCATACATTTGGAAGCTTCATGTAGAGCATTGACAGTTTCACTCATGGATTGACACACATTAAGACGATAAATAAGGACACAACCTAGTGTTATAACTAGTAATTCAAACTTCACTTTGGCCCTTCATGCTGTTTGATTCAGAGGAGGATTTCAATATTCTGCAAATATTCTGCATTAAATAGAATCTAGATTCTGCCAAAATGTTATTGATAAGGAAATACAAGTGCTATTTCTTGTATTCATTTTATGCCAAATAAAGATTGAATGTTTTTAAGTCATAATTTATTGTTTCAGCTTTTTTTGTACATGGTTCAGTTTAAATCCTAAAATAATGAATGAAGTACAGAAGGGATAAACATGTTATGAAACCTTTCATTTGTCCACCAGTGTATGTGGCTAATAACCAATAACCATGGCAACCAGGAAGAGAAATTTTTGATCACATTTTGTTTGGAAATATTTGACAGAATGGTCCAGCTCATCTGCCAAATAGTTTTATATTTGCCATTAAGATAATTGCTCTCAGTCTCAAGAATTCACAATTGCTGGACATTTGTTATATTCTAAAAAAGATTATTGAAAATGAAATCAGAAACTTTTCACAATTATCTAGATGACAGTAGTTTTACCATCATGGGCTTACATCAGTTGAGGTACCATGGTTACAGTGTACAGAGTTCCTTTAAATAGAATCATAATGGATCCACTATAACATTTATATGATTATAAAATGTGTTCCAGATCAATAGAACATAATATATATTATTTTTAGAATTTTTGTCTAACAATTTGACAATATTTTGAATATTTCATCATAAACATGATGAAAGTTGACTTTATTTCTACTTGAATATAATAGTCCACTGTCTCACTTAAAATTGCATTGTAGAAATCATATTTGTTGGAGGTTCACTTGTCCATATTCAATCTTGTTTTATCAATTGCTCGATATCTATCTACCCTGTGTGCAGAGTCTAGTTAAACTACACTGAAGACGAAGCTCTCTTTTAAGAAGTGAAGTCAAATGAATGCAAAGGGTAGATCTATCGAGACATGGCATAAGTAAAATTCCCAAAAATATTCATTTTATACAATTTAACGCATGCTTTACAACACAGTGAATAGCTGATTTTAGATTTGGTGAAATTGATAACCTCCATCAATTTTATAATTTCGGCTTGGAAGTTCAGTGAAAAATTACAAATTGTATCATTATGAATAGCAAGGTGGGTGTTTATGCAATATGTCAAAAGAATTAAAGCACACGACTCAATGAATCAGGTGATTTAGTGGACTCAACTCATGTCTCATATCATAGCCTTTCAAGTGTGACTACCGCCCTCATTCAAAGTCTTAATACAAGACATTCGTCATTCTTTAAATTATCCATAATTCATCTTGCCCTGGGCTTGAATCCTTTATTTGAAGAACGACCCAAAAGTGATCTGCCATGTTTATTCAAGAGTCCTGATCTAAATACTGTATGTTGTAGTCATTTGATGTTATCTCACAAAGTCTGGTCTTGGTTGTATAAAGCTGGGAATATTTTTTCTGGCTATTGTGACATTGCCCTTCTGTTTGTCCTCTATGAATTGTATAATACTTAACATCCCTTCTATCTCCTCTTTCTTTTTTCGAAAGCGTTTCTTTTGGGCGTGTTTACATGAGTCTATGTGTGCTTTCATACCCCCCGCATAGAGGTAGACCTTGCGACACCTGGGATTCCCGGGACATGTCCACATAATAGGCATTATGACTGTGTTGCGTAAAAATGAGATTCTATCTTTCAGTTTCTTGATTTAATCACAGAGTAGTTTTTCATCGACATATGGTACAGTGATCATCTATGCTTCGTGGAGGCTGGTTGACAAACAATGCACTTCTTAACTGAGACCGATCACACTTGATCAAAAAAGGCAATTGTATTTTCAAGTGTATCACCAGGCTTTGTAATTGATTGTATGAATGTTTTTGTTGTATATGATGGTACGCTTGAATGTCCTCTCTGGATTGTTCTAGAATGTCAGTACACCTGAGATGTCCTGGAATAGAAATATAGAGAATTAAGTATAATCTTCTAGATCAGTTTACCGCAATCTACAATGAACAGAATATCTCAAATGATTGATAAGAACAGAATCTCTGAAATAAATTATTCATTCTTAACTCACTGAAGAGTCTGAATATTGTGCTTAATCATGAACTTTAAAATGACACAGAATACAGATGTTTTAGAAATATCGGAACGAATATGTTGCAAGATACATGTAGGCATTCTTATATCAAACCCCCTCCCCCTATCATCTCACTGAAGCACAGATCGGACAAATAACGAGGTCAAGAATAAAACGTCTAGAGAGAAGACCCTCATAAGTTGTTTGTTCAAATGATAAAAATATCACAAATATGCACAAAATTCAAATTTAGATGCCAAAAATGAAATTAGGCCTATCGTGTTCTTTTTGGAAAATATTGTTCGGTCTAAAGTAACCAAATGGACTAGTTGCTTGAGAAACAATATTTTGATTTGTTTACTTTGGAGATGTGTACCTCATTTATTTACCATTAACATCATGAATCGTACTTTCCTTTTAAATAATGAATTTTGAAAAAAAATGTTTTAGCATTCAAATGTGTATGTGGATATATAAAGTCTAAATATGATACTACATTACATGATTAAAACTACTACATACCTTTACAAACCAAAAACAAATCCTAAGCCTACAGTGTCAACTCCCTCCTTTACATGGCTTTACATTATATTGAGTATCAGTGACCTATAACAACTGAACAAAGCTCTTAGAGATGGATCAAATGAATTAAGATTAATCTCTCTGAAGCCTGTTAAGTTCTATTATAGTCTTCTATGACATATGGAGTGAACGCTTACCCAAAATAAAAGTATTTATTGCATTTTAGAATTCATTGAAAAAACTTTCGATTCAATAAAACAGCAATTATTTACCATTATTTGAACTGAATTTAAAATAAAATCTGCCCTTAATAACAATTGTAGTTGTGTAAATTGAGAATGGAGTTTCCCTATTTTAGAGTTTTCCAATTAGCTTATACTTGCATAGGGATAATCCTTAATCTCTGATCTCTATGCAGTTATATTCATATTCAATACCAAAGGGCATAAAGGCCAACTTTATCAAACACCTAGAATTAATTATATAGCTGGAAGCCCTTTTAGTGTGACAATATTTTAGCAAATCAGAATTGTCAACATAAGCCTATTACATTAATAGTTGGTCTCAAAATCTATAATAATATAATATATTGGGGTCAATATATTGGGGCAACATGGTCTTAATATTGCGAATTAATCTGGACAAAATGTCTTAAAATAGGGAGGGGAGTTGAGAGCAAAACTCCCAAAATAGATGACTGAAACAAATGATATAAAATTAGAAGGTGGGAGTCTGGTTGGTCATTTGGTCCAAAATGTCCATAAATTGAGACTTTTTGCCTTTACTCAACATACATCTGCCTCAGACTTATTCTATTCTCTAATCTCAGTCTATTCCTCAAATATTGCCTGAACTTTGAATATGAAATGAAGATTATTTCTACAGGCATTTAGTCTATTGCCCGTCTATTGAGGCCAGTCTATTGTGTTGTTTAGTAAAACCCATTTCAGTGGAACACCTTTGGTACTTCTAAAAAGTGTTCCACTTGGGAGATGTTCCACTTATAGAGGTTCATTTAACATTAAAGTCAGTTGGTCTTGAGACTCTGAAAAGTGTTCCACTAACAGAGGTGTTCCACTTTACAGGTTTCACTGTATTATAAGCCACACCTTCTCCATCTTTGTCCCTCTGGACATTTTGCAACAAAGAGAGATGCTATGATTATCAGAATATATTGAAACTGGTATTTTTATTTTATTGTAAATTAAATATTATAAACATTAGGTACACAAAAATAAATAATGTAACCAATGAAGTAAAATGAAATATGAATAAATATACTTTGGGTAAAATGATTGCCCAATACACAATAAAGTAATTATACATACATATACATTGCATTACAGAATACGTTTACTGTATATCAAAATAATATCAATTAAAGTACTTATAAAGTCTTGTACTCTTGCACTAAGTCTCTGGTCTTCCCCAAGTTCGCCTACTTATTTGGGGGAAAAACAAGGGCTTGATGTAAAATTAGTACTTGTAGATGCATAACAAATATAAAAAAAACAAAAAGCCACCGACATGCAAAATGTCACCACCTTCAACCACTGAATGCTGAACACAAACCACCAGATGCCAAACACCAGTCACCGAACACCATCCAAAAGAATTTGGAGACTAATACTACAACAATATGTCACCACTTCTGGTGGTGACATAATTAATAGAAATGAAGCAAACTTGACAAAGAGGCAGGTTCTAAGATTTCATTTCCGTTTCTTTTGTTGCATGTTTTTCAGGCTTATTCTTCTTACGTTTATTTTTCTTGTCCATCACCAATTCATCGATATACTTGTGTACTTTTGAGGCATGTCTATCCAGATGGAACTTCGTATAAAAACCTTTACCACATTCAGTACATTTAAAGTCCCTTTGCTGAGTATGAACCTTACAATGTTTTACCAAATTTTGCTGTTTATGGAATCCCTTGTTGCAAATTTGACACTGGTATTTTTTCTCAGTTGAATGTTGATGCATATGTTGATTGAGATCAATCATTCTAGCGAAAAATTTATCACATTTTGTACATGCAATGTTTTTCTGGCCAGTGTGGATAACCTCATGTGACTGGAGATGGGCTTTTTGTCGGAAAGATTTATTGCAAACTGGACACTGGTGCTTTTTCTCCCCTGGAAGAAAAAATGCAGGCTTTGTAAAAGATGGCATATACTATAGGTTTTCAAGAGAAAGACCATGCATGTGCACATTAGGCCACTCTAAAAAAGAACTAAGACCGTAATGCATCAAATCAGAATCAAAACAAAACAGATTTTGGAACTTATCTTCAGTATTCAGAATTATAACTACTCAGACTAGTCAGTTGGAGTAAAAAAGGTATGAAAAATATATGAATTCAATTAAAAATCATTTATCTACACATATGCAAAAGAAGTCATCTTTACGATATTCATTGCTTTTGTCAATTCATTCGTTAGTGTTATAGTTTGCTATAATGAGGTCTAAATGTAAATGTAACACAAACCTGTATGAATACGCAAATGAATGCGTAAGTTACTAGAATCACTAAATCCTTTATTACAGTAGCTACATTTATGCCGTTTGATACCAAAATGTATATCTGCATGAGCATCTAGCTTCTGGGCATTTTGGAAAGATTTTGGGCACTTGGGGCATTGGAATCTATTCTTTGAGGTATCGGCATGTCGGAATATCATGTGCTGCTTCAAGTGATGAAACTCCACAAAATCCTTCTTGCATATTGAACAGCTGTAGTATTCATTCGGAGCAGAAGGAACACCTGGAAAGTGATGACATTTTAACATGTGAATTTGGATCAACAAGTAAGGAAGAGGAGAAACATGCAATCGATAATACAGTACTACAGTGATATATAAATGCAAGAAATGAGGCAAGATTGGCATGAAGAGAGTGAAATAGTGCAGGATAGATAGTGGATATTGATGAAAATCCCTTCTCATCCTTTTTTGAAAATTTGAGATAAATTTTTGAAATTAGACCTTTTTCTTAAAATTGAGGCCTATTCTCAGAGATGAAATTCAACACAAGACCACAAACAAATTTGAGATCAATTTTTGAAATTAAACCCTTTCCCCAACATTTAGGCCTATTCTCAGAGATGAAATTCAACACAAGTCCACAAAAAAAATTGAGATCAATTTTTGAAATTAGACCCTTTCCCCAAAATTGAGGCCTATTCTCAGAGATGAAATTCAACACAACTCCACAATTTTTGGAACAACCTACCTAAATACTTAGAATAAGGCCTGCTATACCAATACAACAGCTCAGCACCAGGCTCAATGTCTTTACACGTGATAAAGAATATGTTGAGACCTTCTTGGTAGGCTACTATATTTTGTTCCCGTGTAGCTCTGGCTTTCCTGACGAACATCATCCAGTTTGATGTGTCTTCATTGGTACAGTGGATGTAATGATACTTGTGATCTTCATTACATATCTGGAAAAATATTACATGCACAAATAAAGGGATTCATTAAGGAATTAGTTTCCATGCTTTTATTCTAATTTTTAATAATTTTGCCAAATGTTTAGATTAAACTGATTGCTTAGTGCAGATAATTTATGAAGAATACGAGAACCCTTTACTTCTGGTTTGAGAATTTGAAAAATATTTCTAAAAATGATCTAGTTTTTGTCAATTCCTCGTCTAATTTGCAACTTTTAACAACCATCGATAGAATAGAATCCATTGAATTGATCATGATGAAGAAAGCATCAAGTAAATTCTTTATTTTAAAACCACTCCAAGGCATTCAGATTCAAAATTGAAATTCTGAAATTTGTGATGGAACTTTTGATGCCTCCCTTAACAATATGTTTACTTACCTTCCAGATATTAGAAGATTTCTCAAGTTCCTGTATTGTCTGGCTCATCATAAGCACAGCACCGATAAGAGGTCCAAATTTAGTACCTTTTGAAATTTTCTCTTTTGCGAATATACCTGAAAGTGATGTATTTATCATGTTGTAAGGGTAGAGAGATTTGATGTGGCATTTTTTTAAAGAATGAAATTTTTTGAAATACTCATTCCCTTTGATAACATGACAACAGAATTTAATTCATCATTTCTGTATGGGGATCTTATAAGACAACCATATCAAAACATTTTCCATGTTTTGTTTAAATATGAAGTTTATAAATTGTCATAACTACAAGAGAAATGGGCTTGCAAGGAATAAACCTTTATAATTATCAAACGCCTTTCCAATTCTTATATCCCCTTCCATTCTTTGATAATGCCTTTTGCAATGTAAAATTATAAACTACTATGTTATCCTTTGATATCATTGAAATAAATTTCAAAGAATTCAGCACAAAACACACCTGTGAACTTTATGTCTGATAAAGATGTATCAGAAACAGTCAGTTTAAGTTGCTCTGGGAGAGACATACGAGCCCGAGATGATATTGGTGCATCCTTAACTTCCACGTAGAAATTCCCATGTTGTGCACAGACGGAATGATAGGTGTCATTGCAGTCAACACAATCTGCAACACATAAATACCAAATCAATCATGTGATGTGTAATACCTGAATACATTGTTTCATTATTAAAATCTGTAATGTATTGTTACTATCTGTAACATGGATCCAAGGTCATTACAATCTGTAACATACAAACAGGATCAATATAATTTGTAACATACACATGGGATATTATCATTTGTAAAAATACAAACAAAAGATCAGACGAGTACAATCTGTAACCCACAAATCCAAGATAATAAGAATTTTGCAATTTGTAACATAACATTTTTCACAAATTTTGGCTTTATTTCCCCAAATAAATAAGAGGTTAACAAGAATGCATGTTTTTATTTTTAGATACTTACAATGACCAAATGCGGTAGACTTTGGAGTTTGATAGAAGGGATGATTATGTTTCGATGATAAAGCCTCAGATTCTGTTATTTTCCTTGCAACATCAAAGGCTTGGTCTGCATCTTAAATAGAGTATTAAATAGTTAGTAAAAATGTTGAAGCAGGATGAGGCAAATGAAGTGCTTGCCTCATCACTTCATTATCCTTTGAGAAATGAGTAAATTAACAATTTTAATCATTGTGTACATTTAAGTTATCAATTTTCTATTCAATAGTATAGTTTCTATATAGCTAAATAAAGCTGACATAATAGATGTCACCCTTTCCATACTTCATTTTGGTTGGGCTAGACTGCCATTGACTTACAATAAAACTTGCAAGAGTCACTTACTTTAATTATTTATGAAAAAGAGTTGGTTGAATCTGTCTGAAACTTAAATGGCATAGTGTGGGATGACCATGTCAATGTACTTATTGTGATTAATCATGAAATTTTTGGTTATCAATAGAGATCTGGCCCAAGTTTTTTTTAAAAGTCATGGAGAGTGATTTAAATGACATAACTGTGTGAATCTACGTTATAACTGTAGAAAACTTTTCTCTAAATTCAAATATGCTATTAAAAACAAGAAAAATCTGATATTCATACAGGTTTCACTGAATTTCTGTATATATTTTTTCTCTCTCATATGAATGAACTACGTTTGGTTTATGATACTATAATAAAACAAGATCACATTTTCCAAGACCAAAATTATCCAAGGCATTAACATGATAAGGCATTAACATGATAAAATGTAAAAAATGTAACAATTTGTTACAAATGCTAAATGCTGGTTATAAAATTGATCAGTCCCTTACCATTAATAACATATGTGATAGCCTGATCTACTGCTGTTCCAATGTCAGTTGCAGTATCACCAACAGTTTCTTGATTTCCAATCGAGCCAGAATCAGAGTGTTGAATCACTGGGGAACTAGAAACTGTGTGACCTTGAGGAATTTGAAGACTTTGACCTGTTGACCCTTTGCCTTCCAGACAAGGATTTTGATCGGTTGAAGAAAGCTGTGTAGGATCAACTCTTAGAATGAGCCTTGTGTCGGGGGGTAGTCCCAATGCTTGAGCTTGCTCTTGATTTATCATCTGTAATACTTGGGGTATGCCTACAGGTAGTATAGGTGGCGCAGAAGACACAACATGCTGTCCCGTAGAAATCACAGGTGGCACTGCTGGAATCTGTGGTGCTGTATGCATAATAGGTGGCGCTACAGGCACAGAATTATTCTTAGATGTAACAGCAGGGGGCACTGATACTGACTGTCCAGACATTGGACTAATGTTACCATTATTCGAGATTAGCTGCTTTTGAATTGGCGCAGGTAAGATATTCTGTTGTCCATTTCCCTGTGCTGTGATTGGTCGTTGAATGACAGTACCTGATGCTGACTGAGATTGAGCCACCAATTCTGGTAAAGAAGTTTGGGGCAGAATTGAGATTCCTGAGACTGGCTGTTGATGAGATGTAACTTGTGGCAAAATTAAACATACATTTTGCGATGGGGCTGACTGGGATATAGCTATACGAGGCTGTGAAGCTGATTGTGTTACAGAGTTTTGCTGAGGAATGGTAGATGGAAACTGAATATTTGTAGACTTATCAACTGGTTGTTGTTGTTGCTGCTGTTGTTGAATATTAAGAATGTTTTTCAGAGTCTCAAACTGAGCTCCACTGATCGTAGCCATGGGTTGTGGGGAATTTGTCAGATCAGCTGTAGATGTTACAGCTGTTGATGAAGCTACAGCTGAAATTTAAAAATGCACTCTTGGTTTTAGAATTAAAAACAAATGACATTACTGGACTGCTGAATTAAAAACAAATGACATTTTCTAGATTGTTGATAAAGCTAAAGTTGCAATGAAAAAATACACTTTTGTTTACAATTAAAAACAAAAGATGTGGAAAAACTTTTGGCATAAAACAAATGTAATAAAGCTCAATTGCAGACTTTAAAACATTGAATTCTGTATTAATTATAAATTATTTATTAGAAATGCTATTGAATGCTTCTAGATATAGTATTTCATGATGCTAGAAATAAACACAATACCTCTTTGAAATTATTAAACAATTCATCATAAGAGAATACAAGGCACTAACATGTAAAATGTCACCACCTGCCATTTGTTAGAGACCCCAAATGCTGTACACCAACCACTATACGCTGAATGCCAAACACTGTCCACAAAAAGTTGGAGACTATAACCATATGTCACCGTTTGCTGTGGTGACATTATAGTAATCATACATCTTATGATCTTTACAATCCTGAGCAAAGTTGATAAAATGCCCATTTTTATGACTTAATTATCTCCATTTAAGTTGGGTGCAAATGAGTTTTCATGTGATTGAGAGGTCTATTTTCCAAATTGCAAATGGATGTAGTATACATGCACTACCTACAATAAATATGCTTACCTGGTTGTAATAGTTTACCATGTTGGACCAATGAATTAACTGCTTGGGTAAGGTGTTCTATGTTAATACTAGTAGCCCCTAAGGAATCTGCAGGACCTATCTTGTCCATTCTAAAACAGTCAAAATAAATATACAGGGTGGGCAAAAAAAACAATACCCAACTTTGAATTAGGATAAAAATAGCTATGTTCAATATTCTACATTGATTTATATCCCAAATAAGTATAATAAAACTTTACTATTGATTTCATGACATAGTGTTATATACCAAACTGTTTGAAAATGTATAACCTTTAAAGTGATATGTGAGTCAATGTACCATATTGAATGTGACTATTTTTACCCTGATTTGAAGTTGGGTATTGTTTTTTTTGGCCCACCCTGTATTACCCATATTGTGAGACAATCTATATAATCTTAGGGTGGATTGCTATATTGTACTTCAACATACTTGAAATGTATAAAGAAGTAATTCACCAGGGGGAAATTGATATGGGGAATATCACAAGGATGATATCATCTGAGGGATATTCCTCATATCATCCCGACATGTGAATAACAACCTTATACAATGGTCAAGACCAATATCTACCTAAAGTCCTCTGTTAAATGAGAAAAAATGTTCGACTCTCAGGAATGTAAAGTTACATATTATCCCGCCCTAATGTGCATTGAGAATTTAGGAAAAAAGAAAATCAGAAAACCACAGGCCCAGGAAGATATAAATACCTCCCTCGTCACTGTATAGCTAATGTAAAAAAATACAGTATTTTTTCTACCTAATACACAGTGAGTGGGAGGGGGGTGAACTCTTGTTCCCATGTCTGTGCATAATACATAAAATAAATTGAAAAATGGAAATTGTGTTTAAACCCAAAAATTTGAAAAATGAAAATGTTCCAAAAAATGGAAATTTTTGCAAAAAAAGAAAAATATTTGGAAATAATGAATTTTTTTCGAAAATATGAAATTAAAAAAAAAAAGAAATTAAAAATTAATCAAAATTTTTGAATTTACTCTGGATGATATCAATACCATCCCTGATATCATCCCTCTAATCCTGATTAATTATGATAGAGGGAGGGGGTAAAACGCTATCTAATTAGGTAACGGACATTGATTTTCAGTTTCCCGGGGTTTCGTCTTCATCAATTTCTGCATTCACTTTTCATTCATGGTACAAAATACATTCTGGCATTTTCACAATCTGTAGCCCAGATTGAAAATTCCAACTAAATCTGTTAGGTAACAACATTTGCATTCATAAAGCAAATCGAAAACATTCTAACTACGAAAAAACTGTCGAAGGGGGGGGGGGGCACATTTCAAGTTAGTTTCCCAGTGTTTCTTTTTTTTAGAAAATCGTTAATAAATGAAGCTTATCATAGGTGAAGGTCAACATTTTTGTTCGAAGGGGGAGAGGAGGTCAAGATCTAACCAAAGTAATTACATTTTTTGACAGACATCAATATTTTGACCCAGCTCCTTAGAATTGTCCCCCTTTCAATATTTTGCCAGATGGCCTTAAACATAGGCCCGCTAACGTGTATAAAAAATCAAGTCAAATGGGCTCTACCAAATGGGTATGCAACTAGCCATAGACTCCATGTTAAATGGTGGACGCTGCATGGCGTCATGCTCCAGCAAAAAATTAAGTGCCGGAAGTTGACACAGAGCAGAGAAAATGAGATGAAAATTTTGCCAAATTTTGTGCAATTTATTTCTCTAACTTCTATATTAAATGACCAGTGTATACTCTTCATGTTATTACAAAGCCCTTGTTGTATTGTTACTGATGATCTTGTTTCTATTTGGATAATAATGATAAATTGTGGTCTTGATTGAAGTGTAAGAATGTGTCTACTACACATGGCCGTGCCGCACGGCTTTGAAGAATTTCCAAAGTCTTCCAGTTTTTAATACAAGCATCCATCGTGCATTTTTTATGTTCCAATTTAAAGCCATGTTCATGCCCTAGCTGATGATCTACCTCTTATTTGTGCAAATATATGGAAAATTCCTTTTGCCATTATCGATCAATATAAGGTATGTGCACAAATTCTAGTTGCATACATGGAAAATAGATACATTTTAAAAGGCTATAACACATTCGAAGCTTTCATTTTACAACAGGGCCGTAAGGATCACTGGATACGACTCGGCAGTCCATGCTGCTACTTTAACAATTGAAGGATTATCCTGAACTAAATTCAGGACAGTCGAAAAAATAAGCATGACAGTCCTTAGTTCAACGTCGTTAAACTCAATAACGGCGTTCCTTACTATTAAGAATTTTCTTGGCCTAGCCCGGGCCATAAGACAAGTCAGATAAGAAACAAGGCCCAGGCTAGGTCCAATGTTGTTGGACTAGACAGTCCCATATACTCAAAGAAGCACAGGGGCTTGTCTGGAGGGTCGGGCAAGCCCTCCGATGAGTTTATACTCTTATAACCAGAACACACTCATCGGAGGTCTTGCCCGACGCTCCAGACAAGCCCCTGTGCATAGGCCAAGGGAAAAGTAATAGTAAGCTGTGTTTCTTCTATTTACGGCTTACTATTACTTTTCCTTTGGCCTATGCCCCTGTGCAAAGAAGAGGAGATGTAAAGTGAAAACTGAGTGGTGTTCAGAAGAGATTGATGAAACTAATCTAGTGACTCAAAGTGAGTCTACCTCTCTTAATTATTAAAACTACTGCAGTATATTTAACTAACCAAACTTAAAATTATTTAACTATTTAATCGTATATAATATGCCATACTTACTCGACAATGAAAAGATTTTAGAAATTTTATTTTTAAAGCTCTTCAAAATAGAGATTCATGACACACCCGAAGTTGGGTGTAAAAGTAAACAAGAGTTTGTACCGTCGAGGGGATAAACTGTATGTCGTTGTTACCTGAACGATCATGTCAGGCATTTTAAATACAACGATATTGTTAAAAAGACATGTATTTAGTAGTTTCTTGTATTTTTTGTAGCTTTTCATGTTTCATACATATGCTGTCGAATGTTGAATTGGACCAATGTTGGTTAGATATCTAATGTATTCCGTCTTGAAAGCCCGACCGAGTTATTAGTTAGCCTGGAGACTCTTGAGTGAATTCTGTGCTGCATTTTGATATAGCCTAGTAGACACTGAATTGTCACTGATCCACGATTTATCACATCAATCAGTTCAAACTTCAGTAGGTTGTTTTTGCACATGATCTGAATAGAATATTTGATAATTTCAACTTTTATTTGTAAAATGGCGCGAAATTCGAATACTTATTTGAGAAACATAGTCTCAGTCTTTTTCAAACCTTGTTTAAATTACTTTAAAGTGAGCAAAAGTAATTGAATGACAAAAACATGTTTTCAAACTTTGCATGGGTCTTTAATAGGCCTGCCCCAAGGGCATTTATTGTCGACCGAAATGACATTGATCCCCGCATTGATCCCAAGTCTCAGGTTGTCAAATGCCAATCGCTGGTTTAGGGATTTCCATTTCACCGGAAATCATCCTTCTTCACAAAAATTGAATTTTCCACGAACGCTCATGTAGGTTACTTAAAAGGTAATTTTGATTTAACTACCATAATGTGCCTGGATGAGCAATAATGTTGGGTAAGTCTTATATCCAGCATTAACGGCCATGGTTGCTATTTTATGTGGAAGAAAAAATGGTTCACATCAAGGCAGATTCAGTGAAAACGGTCATCACGTTTTTCTTACTTCCAAAGTCAACCTAAACGTTACGACTAAATGTCTCGGTCACATTTAATCTATGGGAACAGTACGACAGCCAAGTAGTTTCCCAAAATCAAGAGAAATACGCAGCATAAAATATAGGGATAAGCAGCGAGATGTCTTCTACAAACATGCGTGTGCGTGTTGTTAAACATAATACAGGGTGGTCAAAAAAACGGAAACCCTGCATTTTCCTCATATCTTTGTCATTTTAAGAAATTACTCCCTGATATTTCACACATTTGTAAATCAATCAATTTCCCACTACCCTATCATATTTCATGACCATCAGACGGATAATCACAATTTTACAGCACTTTGAAAAACATGCTTCAGGTTTGGCATTATTGTGCTGTAGGAAACACTGCACAGTTGTCAATGATCCAAATGCATTCCTCAGCAGGTATGGCCTGAATGATACAGATGATCTCACTTTTGAGGTCTGCAATTGTCCTGGGGTCATTCGTATACACTCTATCTCTGCTATATTCCCCAGGTAGGGACATTTTGGACGACATGTGCAGGTTGGTCTTCAGCGCAATAATGGTCACCGGGGATGTTCTTTAAAGTGCTTTAACACTGTGACTATCAATCTGATGGTCATGAAATAAGGTAGACAAATAGGAAATTGAACGATGTACAAATGTGCAAAGTTATTTCTTAAAATGACAAAGATATTAGGAAAATGGTTTTAGGGTTTCCAGTTTTTTTTACCACCCCGTAACCTAACCAAATTGATTAAAAAATATCATGCATTGTGATCTTGTCAACTTCTGCCGATAACTATCAAAACCACCTACTGACACGCATCTGATATTAGTGTTTCGAATTTCCCGCCAATCAAGATCATTATTTGAAGTCACTGCTTTACTAAAACTACCATTTGCCATTTGCGACAAATCCATGATATAACGACATAGCTCAAGGGCTGCGCCTGCGAAAATGTACGCATCGCAAACGCAACGATCCAAAATGAGGCCTCTGGTCATTAAAGGCCCCATATAACGTTTTCGAAACCACTTTGGTTTACATTATTGTCATACCCAATGTTATCAAAATGTTGATGTGAAACTTCTCAATTTATTCTCAAAAAGATGATTTTGAAAACTTGTGAATTTATTTTAGTTATTACACAAGGTATACATTGTTAAGCAAGAATTTATATCGACGCATAACATTCATCCTAATCTATTTGCGTTGAAAAAATAATAAAATAGTGCAAAAAGCATGAAAACTTTTAATTCTCATCGAATCCAATGGTTCATGGATATTTAAAACATGGTAAAACTTGTTTTCAACCTTGATTATGATAAGCCAACGATATTTTTTTATATCAGTAAACCGTTCTAATTTCATGTGAGCTATCGGTTCTGCACTTCAGTTATACATTGCACACATTAGGTTTGCATCGATCATCGTTATTTTTATATGTTTCATCAACATGTTCAAAATTCCATTTTGAAGTTTCCTCTTTGAGGCAAGCCAGTTCTATATCTTGATCCTTGTCTTTGTTCCTCTGCAACTTAGCTTCCTCAACCATGGTTTGTTTACGTTGGAATTGGAGGATCGGCGCACGCATCATTGTCAAGACCAATTGCCATCGCATTTGCGCACGTTTGAAGGACCTCCTTGATTTGTCGTCTTTGAATTCACGGTATTTGCCACAGTGACCATTGATTTTGGCGTTCTCTTCATCTGAATTGAAATAAAGTGATATATATTTGACTTCTAATATCAATTTAAAATACAAATGCGAGTTCAATGCAAATACGAGGGTTGATCCAAAAGTTCTCCACCGTTTTATCTAAAAAAATTATTTATTGGTGAATTTTGTTCAAACTTGGTCAGAAGCAACATGAATATGATAGCTTGGTATTGTATTAATATCATTGAAAAAATATAATATTAACAATGTCATTTGGCTACCATAGTAACAGGACAACGAGGTAGGCGGAGCTGGATAAAATCACTGTTTATTACAATTTCTTGTCAAACAACGTGGTATTATTACAGAGTTTTAACCAGGGGTTTTAACATTAATGAAGGCTTTTATTTGATGCAATATCAATGTTCATTCTCCCTCAAAATAGTCCCCACCATGGGCTATGCATTTTTTGCATCATTTTATCCAAATATTGAACTTATGCCGAAGTCCATTCTCAGCGACTGAATACACACTGTTGGTAAAAGCTTCAATCAGCGACTCATCATCTGCAAAACGAACCCCATGGAGGGGCTACTTAGTGTAGATCGTACTGTGGAGTTGGATTGGATTGGCCAAAGAAGACAAAGGTACAGACATCTGCATCTAAAGTGATGTTTATCGTCTTTTTCGACATCCACGGAATCATCCTCGTTCACGCCGTGCCAACTGGAGTTACTGTGAATTCTGCATATTATTCAAAGGTAAGTTGTGAATCCCGGGTTTTGGACCCGACTTGGACCCTGCGTTTTGGACACAGTTGCTAAGGAAGAATCTGAAAGATGCCATCAGGAGGAAGAGGCCAGAGTTTATTGCAGACGGCTTCTACTTCCATCATGACAACGCCTCTGCCCACAGAGCTAACATTACAATAGAAGTTATATATGAGCATTTACAAGCAGAACTTGTCAAGCATCCCCCTTATTCCCCAGATACAGCTCCCTGTGACTTCCACATGTTTCCCGAAGCTAAGAAGCCCCTATGTGAGATTCATTTTGCAGATGATGAGTCGCTGATTGAAGCTTTTACCAACAGTGTGTATTCAGTCACTAAGAATGGACTTCAGCATGTGTTCAATGATTGGATAAAACGATGCAATAAATGCATAGCCCATGGTGGGGACTATTTTGAGGGAGAATGAACATTGATATTGCATCAAATAAAAGCCTTCATTAATGTTAAACCCCTGGTTAAAACTCTGTAATAATACCACATTGTTTGACAAGAAATTGTAATAAACAGTGATTTTATTCAGCTCCGCCTACCTCGTTGTCCTGTTACTATGGTAGCCAAATGACATTGTTAATATTATATTATTCAATGATATTAATACAATACCAAGCTATCATATACATATTGCTTCTGACCAAGTATGAACAAAATCCACCAAGAAATAATTTTTTTTAGATAAAACGGTGGAGAACTTTTGGATCAACCCTCGTACAAGCTACATTGTTATAGTCTCAAACTTTTTTTTGTAGGCGCTTTTCGGCGTTCTGAGTTCAGCGTCTGTAACAAATGGCAGGTGTTAAATTTTGCACGTCAATGCCTTGTTTTGACCTTACCTCGTACTGCCCCTGACTTGTATCTCCCAAGACGATGTTTCCTGTTGTGATCATCTATGAGGATATTACAGAATGTCACTAATATAGGATGATTGTGACAATGTTCCACATACAACAGGCCTAAGTAGCATGCATAACCTGAAATCAAACACGTTTCTGAGGAGCAAAGACCTAGATGAGGGAGTGAACCTTTAATTGCAACAAGCTATATCTCAGTCATTACCAGCATTAACGGTACCAACAAAAAACTTCAGACTCCTCTCAATGTGAGAATATTATTCCATTATTGCGGGTAATAACTGAGATGTAGCTTTTTGCAACTTTGCAAGGCTTTACTTTTTTGGAACACCCTGTATATGATTTAGAGTATTCAGGGACTATATCTGTTAATCAATGGCTATCGTTGGAGGGTATGTTGTTTACCTGGATCTTTCTGTTCAAAGTACCTAGACAACGAAGATATGTCCAATCTACCGAGAAAAATAGCTCCGAACACAATAGAGAATATGATCCTCTTTAAGGCCGAGAACAATCCCAGGAAGATGTTGTAGAAGAACATATAGTAGGTAAACAGAAACAACCACCGTCTGAAAAAGAACATACAGAAGCTAAGATCTGATTAATTATCTCGTCCCGGATATTTCTATTCTAAACATGGGACAAGTGAAAAAAACATATACTATGTAATTTCATTTTTGGGGATAAAAAATAACAGATCTTTACTAAGTTTTCTTGTTTTAAACGTACGCGGGTCAAAATGTCAAATTTCTTTTACATCTTCTCGAAGAGTTTTGTATAAAGTTTTAGGAAATTAATAGGGAGTTTAAGCTTGCAATGTTTTTTACAATTTAAACGCGAACGGAAAATATTTAAGCGATGCATTTGTATGGGCGATTGGTCATACGTATAGGTTGGTGTTTCGATTTTATATGCAAGCTTAAACTCCCTAATACCTGTTATTGACTGCAAGGAAAGCGCCTCTCTCTTGTAAGAAAGCAAATCTGGATAACAGAATCTGTCCTACCATCAATACCAATGTTATCAGTATCACAGGCCTAATATGATAAACACCATTAAGTCAGATGCAAATCGCAGATGGGTAAGGATAATCGATCAAGTATTTGATACATATCACAGTGTGCTTTTTTCCATTTCGCGCTCAAACAATTAGATTAAATCTTTGTTTTTATGAAAAATAACTGCATTTACAGTCCACAGAGATAAATGAAGGACAAGAGTCTCCTTTCGATAAATCCAGTTATATATTACTCACCACAAACCGTTCAGCACAACAAGGAACCACTTTCCATAGCCAAGTGTCAGGGGTATGATGATTACTGCACCCAATAAAAACGTAACCAGGAACAACACTAACATAATCATTATAAAACCTAAAAATATCAAATTCAGAAATATTCAAATGTAAGCCACGTCCACAAAAGAAAATGTTGATGATGAATGTAGTCTTGCTTCAATATTCTGGACGCCCCCTGCAAGCTGTCTATACTCTAACAACGGCTGTAAAGAAGATAAGGGGAGGGTCCAAGGTCTTGAAGAAAGACAAGATGTGTGAAACAAGCTTTGGAGTGTTATCATTAATTTTTAAGACATACTTACTCCATGCACAATACGCAACTTGGAAACCAGCGAAGCGTATAAATCCAGTCTGAAAAAGTTAGAAAACCGATATATCCCCCGGAATATCCCTTAGTAGATATGATCACATTGATTACTCCAGCAAATTCAATAAGTAATGAATAAACATATAAAATAGCGAATAACACGGAATTCTCTTTGCATTGCAATTTTATTCATATACGAGTCTTGTATACAAAAAGCATTATTTTTAACGTTACCATCATCGTACTACAGCCCAAGTCTTTCAAAGGTGGGAGGTTCGGATGGTTCCCTTTATATAGTAGTAGCTGGTCATTCCTAAAATATTATGTAACTTGAAATATAGTATAAAAATCCAAATAAAAGTATACTATATACGATTATTTTCGAATAGTAGCAAGTAACATTATTTGAGGGAAATGCTCGATATTTTGAGGGATTTGACTGGAAATTGAAGTTTAGAATTTTCATTTTTACGATAGTTACCAGGTTTATTATGAACCATATTGTGCAAGCCAAGTGAGTTGACAGAGCGCAATAAACAACATACCTGTAACATGCCATGCTTCTAAGAATATTATAGACCACCAAAAGAAATGCTAGGGTTGTCGACAACACGAAACTCACTGAAATGTATTCAATATTTTCAAAATAATGTTAAGCTGCCATCTAAAAACAAAGACGAATCTCGGTGTACACAGTGTAAGATATCTAAATTAAAATGTGATAAACGCATATGGCATTCAATTGTCATAAACCATATCCTAAGGCTATACCCTTTTACAAGTTGTATTGGGTAATTGTATATTCAGGCCCGTAAGACACTTTTCTCCACGGGGGGTGCGGTTCTCACTAAAGACAATTTTTCAAATCGCGTAAGTCAGAGGGGGGGGGGGGGGTCCGTTACTCTCAATATTTGGGGCCACTCGGCGCGTTTTGTAATATTTTATTGTTTTCATATTATGTTAGACTAAATATTGTATGAGCAATTTGGAAAAACACTGGAATAGGGGGAGGGTGTGCTAGAAGGGCATAAATGTTCACCCGAGAACTTTTACCAGTTCAAGATCATATTCAGTGATTTCTGGACACTTTCAAGTGTTTTGATCAATAGAATTAATTTAAAGAAATTCAGGTTTTTTCAATCATTTATTTAATAATTCAAGATGCTGTATGGTTAATTCTGAGCACTTTTAATCTGGGCACTTTTAAAGTGTTTAAAATTAACAAATGCAACTTCCAAACTTTCCAATTGTTTTATGGGGGCTGTAAGGAGTGGCCCACCCCCCCTAGAAAATTTCACACATTTGAGATGCTATTTGGTGCTTTCTGGGCACTTTAAAAGTGTATGAGTCAATAAAAATTGTTTTTTGGGATGTCAAAGAGGATGAGAGGGTGAGGTGGGCTGAGGGTGCCAGAGGGGGAGCATTGGGTTGTCCCCCAGAAACATTGACCATATCAAGGTGCTATTTGATGATGTCTAAGCACTTTAAAAGTAGCTGTGACAGTACATGAAATTCAGAATTTTCAATTGTTTTGTTGGGCTCCTAGAATTATTACAATTTCAAGATGATATTTGGTGCTTTCTGGGCACTTTTAAAGTGTATGCGTCAATAAAAAAAATGGGGGATGTCAAAGAGGGTGTCAGAGGGGGAGGTGGGGTTGGGGTGCCAGAGGGGGAGCAAGTGTTTGTCCCTAATATATGTCCCCCAGAAACATTGACCGTATCGAGGTGCTATTTGATGAAGTCTGGGCACTTTAAAAGTGTCTGAGACAATACATGAAATATATTCAGAATCTTTGTCAATTGTTTTGTTGGGCGTGTGAGGGATGGCCTACAAATTACAATTTTATGATGCTATTTGGGCACTTTCGAAGTGTATGAATCAATAAAAAAAATTGAAAAGATCACATTTTTCGGGGGTGTTAAAAGGGGGTGCCAGAGGGGGAGGTGGGATGGGGATACCAGAGGGCGGGTAAGTGTAAGTCCCCCAGAAACATTGAGTATATCAAGCCGCTATTTGATGATGTCTGGGCACTTTAAAAGTGTGAGACAATACATAAAATAGATTCAGAACTTTTCAATTGTTTTGTTAGGGGTGTGAGGGGTGGCCCACTCCCTCTACAAAATTGTACAAATTTAGGATGCTATTTGGTGCTTTCTGGGCACTTTCAAAATGTATGAGTCAATAAAAAATTTCCAGAAAATCACATTTTTTCCCCAATTTTTGAAGGGTGTCAAAGGGGAGGGGGTGCCAGAGGGGGAGGTGGGTTTGGGAAGCCAGAGGGGGAGCAAGTTTTAGTCCCCCAGAAACATTGACTATATCAAGGAGCTATTTGATGATATCTGGCCACTCTAAAAGTGTCTGAGACAATACATAAAATAAATTCAGAACTTTTCAATTGTTTTGTTGGGAGTATTATTTGTTGTACAATGTATTGTATAATTGTATACTTTTAATACGTCCTCCCTCAGAGTCGTTACATACGGCATGGATGAACATTTTGGACAGAAACCGCAAGGGTTGTGTCATGTTAAATAAGGTATCCTCCTTGGCTTAAGTTAAGACCCCTCCATGCACTTAGTATCATTCTGATACTCATAGGATCTTTCTGTTCCACATGAAACATGGACTGAGAAGAAATGAGATGTCATGGTTTATCATGATGCTTAAGTACCCCATACAGTTAATGATCATGAGTTAGTCTTTCTTTGCAATTGCTAAGAGAGAGACCATGAGTTATAATACTTTACCTTTTATATTTGTCACATATAAATGAAGAATATAAAGAAACGTGTTTTCATCAACTGTCTTCTCCATTATAACGTCAACAACAAGTTTAACAATCGGCGAGGCGCCGAGCGCTTCTATAAGAGGGATGATGGCATCTGCCACAAGTACAACAAGCTTTTCGTACACACCCATCCATGTTATAAAAATCTGGAATATGAAACAACGCCTTTGAATTGACGACTGTCAATATATAGTGGAATATTGAGTGACTAAGAAAGTGCTGTCAATAAATGGTGGAGTATTGCGTGACTAACAAAAGACTGTCAATAAATGATGGAGTATTGTATGACTAACAAAAGACTGTCAATAAATGGTGGAGTATTGTGTGACTAACAAATGACTGTCAATAAATGAGTGAGTATTGCGTAATTAACAAAAGACTGTCAATACATGATGGAGTATTGTGTGACTAACAATGACAGTCAATAAATGATTGAGTATTGCATGACTAACAAAAGACAGTCAATAAATGATGAAGTAATGTGTGACTAACAAAGGAATGTCAATAAATGATGGAGTATTGTGTGATTAACAAAATATTGTCATTAAATTATTGAGTATTGTGTAATTAACAAAACGTTGTCATTAAATGATTGAGTATTGTGTCATTAACAAAAGACTGTCAATCAATGATGGAGTATTGAGTGACTAACAAAAGCCTGTCAATAAATGGTGGAATATTGTGAGACTAATAAAAACTGTCAATAAATGATGGAGTATTGCGTGACTAACAAAGGTCCAACAGTCAACATAGGTCCATTGGTCAATAAAAGTCCATTGGCTGACAAAATTAACAAAATGTTGCATTGACCAACAAAAGCGTCGTGCTTTACAAGCCTAACAAAGTTTCATTGGCGAATAAGGATCTAAAGGCCAACGAAAGACAGACACTTAACTCACCATATACAGCATGATAAGGGTAACTGCAGTTGTGGAAACAACTCGAGTTGAGTAACGATAACCTACAATACAATATTTAAATCGTATTAAGAATATTATTCTATTTACTGTGAGTCTCTTGAAAAGATTAGATCAAAGACTATTTCAAATAAATTTATTGCGAAGAATAAAAAATATTGTAGTCGTCAGCATACTGTACTACTACTTGTAGTTTATGACTCTATCCTAATTAAAAGAACACAGTTCTTGCACGTTTCTGACAAGATTATTAAACTTTTGAATTGGGTGACTGCATCAACCAGCTTTATGTTTTATCAACGATCATTATTGTTGAGACAAAAACCTGGGATGAACAAAAATTTGAACATTGCTACATTTATCCCTCACCACTGACGCTTTTGTACATCTTTGACCTGAGAAAGTCCAGTATCTTTTCTTTGATTGTAACAGGTACTCTATAAAAAAATTCCAGCACCATGATAAATGCCATAAATATGAGCAATGAGTGACCAGGCCCATAGCCAAGGGGCCCAGAGGTTCCAATGTAAGAGGGTTGCATTTTAGGAAACTTGTATATACGTACTCACAGCAGACTTAGTTGCACTTTTATTTTATCCTAAATATTCATATTAATGTTATATAACTTATAAACACCATCGATGAAGGAAAGGAAAATGATTTCCATTTCGCTTTAGGTATAATAGTTATTTTTTGGGCTACCCTGTATTTACAATACCCCATGCTTACATTTCAGTCTTGGCAGGAGCAAACATACTGGTGACATATTTAGCTTGGTAATGTTCCCTCCAAGCAATACTCTGAAAAATACGACGTAACTTTAATATTCATGTGAATATCCTTCTTAAGTACCTCAACAAGATCATACCAGTCTTGAGCAATTGGACCAGAGGTGTACCAAAGAGGTAATGCTTACCTTCACTGATGGTAAACAAAAAACAATACAATACAATACAACACAATATGTCAAAACAATACAACATAGACAATATAGGTCTAAGGACACATACATACTGTAGTTACTGAAATTGCAAGGAATATTTATAGCTAGCTACGAACTATGCCAAATGATTTCTTCAAACACAATCCATCGTGATATAATAGTTTGCACTATTTTCTTAAATTGTTATAATCAAATAATACTTTCTTACCTTGTCTTTGTTTCTATCTCTTATGCTAATGATGAGCCTGAATGGAAAGCCTATCATGAGGTATACACAGCATAATATGATAGGCAATTGACCTAATGTTTCCTGGAAAATGAAGTTTAAAGGGGACGCCTTAATTGTTAGAAAGTATGTCCATTCTTTCTTGAGCTCTAGGTTGAAATAATGTTTTATGTCCACTAGTTCCATAATTCATTGCTATGGTAACATATACTAAACACATATTCAAGTTTACACTATGATTCTCTTTGTTTACAAGTACAGTATATACTGTGCCATATGGGTCTCAAATAAATCTGACCACAAGATTTCGAGTTATTGTAAATTGTTACAAAAAGTTAGAAACTCAGACACGAACACTAGGCACAAAAGTGGAGGCCATAACGATCATAATTCCTTTGACTGTTTTTTGTTAAAACCTTTGATATGAACTGTACGAAATGTTTTTCATCATCAATTCTATTTCTACATTTTCTAACAACTGTCAAACAAACTCACCCACATAGCAAGGCTGCTGTCTGTACACAAATTGTAAAGAGACAGCAAATATATGGTGCTGTAGATCCAAACATAGACTGTCCCTACGGAGTAGCTAATGATAGAATCAAGAAAGAGAGCAGCAAACACAGGGTAGAAGTTTGTTCCGTATATGATCACAGTCAAGACGTAGTAGAACGCTGTTAATCAGATGAAGAAATACTATGTATATATTACTATAGTACTTGTATTTGTATTGTGATCATTGGCTGTTTTATGTGAATTTACTGTTTTATGTTATTCGTTTGCTTTGTGTTTGTTGGCTGTAATTTCGTATTCATTGTTGTTCGTTGTTCGTTTTGTGTTTATTTTTTTGTGTTTATGGATTGTTTTGTTTTCATTGGATAGTTTGTGTTAATTGGTTGATTTGTGTTCATTGATTGTTTTGTGTTCATTGGTTGTTTTGTGTGCATTGGTTGTTTTGTGTTCATTGGTTGTTCTGTGGCACCGTTCTGTGTGTGTTGCTTTGTCGAATTGTATTTCGGATTTGTTGTCTTTGAAATTGTTTTGCTTATATAGCTATTGTTATTGTACAGGGTGTCCCGAAAGTATGGGGCCCCCCCCCTAGGCAGACATATTCCAATGTCCTCATAGTATGTGTCCTATATCATTTTAAAGCTTATCCAAAGTTACATTGATTTGCCAAGTATCATGGTTTAACTCCCAAATGGGAAAAAGTTACAGTCATTTTAAAAGTTAGTGTTTTGTCAAAATAAAGTTCAATTTTACACCACATCACTAGTCAATGAGTCCCCCTTGGCTATGCTCACAGCAGCAATTATTTTCAGATATGACCTTAAAAGCCCTTCAAATAGGGGTGTGGAATTTTATAACCATCTTAAAACCTGTTAAGGAACTTTAGAAGAGTTTCCTTAGAGTTTCTACCCTCACTGTTCTCTTTTTCAACTCTATATCCATCCAACCCGAAAATAATTGCTGCTGTTAAAATGGCCCGGGAGGACACATTGACTATTGATTTGGTGTAAAATTGAACTTAATTTTGACCAAACACTAAATTTTGAAATGCCTGTAATTTTTTCACATTTGAGAGTTGAACCATGATACTTGGCGAATCAATGTAACTTTGCATAAGCTTTAAAATGATATATGACACATACTGTGACGACACTGGTATATGTCTGCCTAGGGGGCCCCATACTTTCGGGACACCCTGTATTGATAATTTTCATCTTACTTATGAGGTAACTAGGAGTCTCCAAGCTAGGTGGAACAACAAGTTCTCTTAATAAGATCATTTGAAGACACAGGCCCGTTGTGAGACCAAATGCCGCGGCGTAGGAGAAGCGCTTGGAATGACCCTGGATAAAGTCCAACGGACTGAAAAAACAGTAAATCATTTTTCAAATGGAAAATGGATTGTGCTTTTAAATGTTGCTCTTTGAGTCAGTGGTACACGTATTAACGACCATTTTCGTTTTTAGAGATTTATGCTCGTTGAGTGATACTAGTAGTATACTAGTATACTGATAGTATAGAGTATTCCCTATCTCAGTAACTATATCGATATGATATACCATTCTATAATTATTTTAATCAATTATCAGTGACATTTCAGTAATATCTATGATTACCACGCATCATTCCGTTTCTACTTGTTATTACAGTCTGCAATAACAAGATATTTTACTCGGTGTGAGTGAGTTTTTGCTATGTACACTCCCCTTCATAAATATGGTAACCTAAATCCAAAACCAGTCTATTGCAATGGCTGATGGATAGAGATCGAAAGCAGCCATATCGATGGGTATCGTTGATTTTTATGTTTCGGGTTTATTGTGCATGATGGTGACTTTGCGATCGAATGTTGACATGAGTTGACATTCTTTGTGTTACCAAACTAATGAAGAGGAGTGTACAAGGAATATGAACTGTGTGAAGCTCCAAGTGTTTCGACTCTTGGTGAAGTATTTTGACTTGACCCAAGTATTCTGATTTTACTTATTTATCAAATAAACTTGATACGGTGATTTTCAATTTAGATTTCAATTTATTCCAGCGGTAATTGTTGAAATTTAGTAAATGAAACCACTTTTTGATTTACGTATGTGGCTGCCTCGTGTGCAAATAAAAGGCCTCTCATTTATTTATATCAACTAACAGGGTACCCGTTGAGATCCAGACCCCCGGATGTTCGACTTTTGCACCAAGGAACGCTCCTGAGCAATAGAAGATTTGGATAGAATATATCAATATATTTAGGCTGGGTCTCAATTTTAGGAGTATGCCTCAATTTTGGAAAAATGGGTCTTTTGAATTGATGGGCCTCGATTTTCAAAAATGGGTCCAGTTCAAAAAGGGTCAGCATGTTTGGGACCAGTATTTCCTTCCAGCAAAATTTGTTGGCACCCTCTCTTGTGAATTTTCAGATCTGATGAGATAAGTGAACTCGGAACACTTGGGTTGTCAGAATAGTTGGGCAAGAGTCAGACAACTTCGGTAACCCAGAACAGTTGGGCTTCCACATGCGTACCTCAAAACAGCAGGTCTTCCATTCAAACATCCTGTGCACAAAGCTTTTCGACGTTGGAGAGACGAGAACAATGCAATTATACACACCTAGATAATCAAAATAACTAGACTTTGGAAATTGAACGAAGTTCAATTTCAGACTCCAGATTTAGACCTTTTTTAGCCGAGTCATCCAGAATAAGCCGAGTCATCCAGAATAAGCTGAGTCATCCAGAAAAAGATGGATGGATAAAATAGAAAGGTAGGATAGGATAGAATAGGAAGGAACGATAGGATAGAATAAGAAAGAAGGATAGGATAGAACAGAATAGGAAGAAAGGATATGATAGGAGAGGATAGGAAGGAAAAGATACGAAGGAAGGATAGATATCAATATTTTCTTCTCTACTCTTGACTTTCTATCAGGATACCATCAGATCGATTTTCCGAAATTTCAAAACGCCATAACTTCCGAACCGGAAGTCGGATCGAAATTTGGTTTAAAGATTCGGATTCCTGACAAAATTCTACCCCTAATTCATAACTCATACGTTAAATTTGGCGAATTTTTATTTTGACCTACTTTTCGGACACGCCATAACTTTGGAACCGGAAGTCGGATCGAAATTCGATTAGCAGATTCGGATTTCTGAGACAATTCTACCCTTAATTCATAACTCATATGTTAAATTTGGAGAACTTTTTATTTTGACCTACTTTCCGGACACCATATCTCAAAAGTGGGTCAAAATACTCTCTGACGGCAAAAGGCTAACACTATTAGCAAACTCTTGGCTACATGTATACACAATTTCGAAGAATATAATTAAAGTGTAGTGTCAGAATCGCAAAAATAAGGAAAACCTTTGGATTTGACCTAGATTTTGACCTAGGTATTTTGGTATCAAAATTTTGAAGCTAGATGGCTTTTGAGGTCCCCTTCTTTTAAAAGCTTTCATTAAATTAAGCTGAACTCAGTCTATATTTCGTATTTCTCACTTCTAAAAAATCTTTTTTCCCATTGACTTAACATGGGCACCAAATTTAGCGATTTTTGAGCTTCTAAAACGCCATAACTTTCGAACCGGAAGTTTGATCCAAATTTGGTTTGCAGATTCGGATTCCTGAGATCATTCTACACTTATTTGATAACTCACATGTTGAATTTGGAGAACTTTTTGTTCTGACCTACTTTCCGGACGCCATATCTCAAAATCGGTAACAGTAATCAAAAATCTGATGGCACACTTATGAAAGGGCTGTTTCTAAGCTACATGATGAAAAAAAGATAAAGTTGTTTCGATAAATAACGACGAAGATATTAGGCGGAAGGTTGAAAATGTAAGATTTGACCTAGTTCTTGACCTTTGACCTAGATAAAAAATTCACCCAATTTCCGAGAAACTAGATACTGGACCTAAATTGACCATATACAGGTCTTGACTCAATGTCTTCTGACTACTGAGAAAACGTGTAGAGAATAATAACTAGATTTTGGAAATTGAACGAGTTCAATTTCAGACTCCAGATCTAGACTTTTTTTAGCCGAGTCATCCAGAATAAGCCAAGTCATCCAAAATGAACTAAGTCATCAAGAAAAAGAAGGATGGATGGATGGATGGATGGATGGATGAAAAAGGAAGGAAGGATAGGATAGAATAGGAAGGAACGATAGGATAGAATAGGAAAGAAGGATAGAATAGAATAGGAAGAAGGGATAGAATAGGAAGGAGAGGAAACGAAGCAAGGGTAGATAGGAAGGATAGGATAGGATCAGAAAGGAAGGATGGATGCATTTTTCAATATTTTCTTCTCTACTCTTGACTTTCTATCAGGATACCATCAGATCGATTTTTCTTGAAATTTCAAAACGCCATAACTTCCGAACCGGAAGTCGGATCGAAATTTGATTTGTAGATTCAGATTCCTGACAAAATTCTCCCCCTAATTCATAACTCATACGTTAAATTTGGCGAATTTTTATTTTGACCTACTTTTCGGACACGCCATAACTTCGGAACCGGAAGTCTGATTGAAATTTGGTTTGCAGATTCGGATTTCTGAGAAAATTCTACTCTTAATTCATAACTCAAACGTTAAATTTGGAGAACTTTTTATTTTGACCTACTTTTCAGACACCATATCTCAAAAGTGGGTCAAAATACTTTCTGACGGCAAAAGGTAACGCTATTAGCACACTCTTGGCTACATGTATACACAATTTCGAGGAATATAATTAAAGTGTAGTGTCCGAATCGCAAAAATAAGGATAAACTATGAATTTGACCTAGATTTTGACCTAGGGATTTTTGTGTCCAAATTTTGAAGTTAGGTGGCCTTCGAGGTTCCCTTCTTTCATGGGCTTTCATTTTTTTAAGCTGTACTTAGTCAATATCTCGTATTTTACACTTCAAAAAATTTTTTGTTCCCATTGACATAACATGGGGCACTAAATTTAGCGATTTTTGAGCTTTCAAAATGTAATAACTTCCGAACCGGAAGTCGGATTGAAATTTGGTTTGCAGATTCGGATTCCTGAGAAAATTCTTCACTTAATTCATAACTCAAATGTTAAATTTGGAGAACTTTATATTTTGACCTACTTTTCGGACACCATATCTCAAAAGTGGGGCAAAATACTTTCTGACGGCAAAAGGCTAACACTATAAGCACACTCTTGGCTACATGCATACAAAATTTCGAGGAATATAATTAAAGTGTAGTGTCAGAATCGCAAATATAAGGATAAACTATGAATTTGACCTAGATTTTGACCTAGGGATTTTTGTGTCCAAATTTTGAAGTTAGGTAGCCTTCGAGGTTCCCTTCTTTCATAGGCTTTCATTATATTTAGCTGAACTCAGTCTATATTTCGTTTTTTTCACTTCAAAAAAATCTTTTTCCCCATTGACTTAACATGGGCACCAAATTTAGCGATTTTTGAGCTTTCAAAACGCCATAACTTCCGAACCGGAAGTCTGATTTGAATTTGGTTTTCAGATTCGGAATCCTGATAAAATTTCCTATAAGACCAATATCCTGGACATTTGATTCGAAGAACTTTTTTTTGGACCTCGTTTTCGGACACTGATATCTCGAAATCTGTTTGAGATATCAAAAAACTAAATCGACCTTAGGTTTTCTACTTTTTTATAAGGAACACAATGAAAAAAACCCGGATCGAAAATATTGAAGGACGACCGAGAAAATCGAAAAAAGTGACAAAGTACTGGATTTGACCTAGTTCTTGACCTTTGACCTAGATAAAAATTTGACCCAATTTCCGAGGAACTAGATACTGAACCTAAATTGACCAAATGATTGACTTTACTGAAGACCTTATGGTTATTGAGAAAACGTGCTTAGAATAATAACTAGATTTTGGAAATTGAACGAGTTCAATTTCAGACTCCAGATCTAGACTTTTTTTAGCCGAGTCATCCAAAATAAGCTAAGTCATTAAGAAAAAGAAGGATGGATGGATGGATGGATGGATAAAAAAGGAAGGATAGGATAGAATAGGAAGGAACGATAGGATAGAATAGGAAAGAAGGATAGAATAGAATAGGAAGAAGGGATAGAATAGGAAGGAGAGGATACGAAGCAAGGGTAGATAGGAAGGATAGGATAGGATCAGAAAGGAAGGATGGATGTATTTTCAATATTTTCTTCTCTATTCTTGACTTTCTATCAGGATACCATCAGATCGATTTTTCTTGAAATTTCAAAACGCCATAACTTTCGAACCGGAAGTCGGATCGAAATTTGATTTGCAGATTCGGATTCCTGACAAAATTCTACCTCTAATTCATAACTCAAACATTAAATTTGGCGAATTTTTATTTTGACCCACTTTTCGGACACGCCATAACTTCGGAACCAGAAGTCGGATTGAAATTTAGTTTGCAGATTCGGATTTCTGAGAAAATTTTATTTTTAATTCATAACTCAAACGTTAAATTTGGAGAACTTTTTATTTTGACCTACTTTTCGGATACCATATCTCAAAAGTGGGTCAAAATACTTTCTGACGGCAAAAGGCTAACGCTATTAGCACACTCTTGGCTACATGTATACACAATTTTGAGGAATATAATTAAAGTGTAGTGTCAGAATGGCAAAAATAAGGATAAACTATGAATTTGACCTAGATTTTGACCTAGGGATTTTGGTGTCCAAATTTTGAAGTTAGGTAGCCTTCGAGGTTCCCTTCTTTCATAGGCTTTCATTATTTTAAGCTGTACTTAGTCTATATCTCATATTTTACACTTCAAAAAAATCTTTTTTCCCATTGACATAACATGGGGCACCAAATTTAGCGATTTTTGAGCTTTCAAAATGACATTACTTCCGAACCGGAAGTCGGATCGAAATTTGGTTTGCAGATTCGGATTCCTGGGAAAATTCTATACTTAGTTCATAACTCACACGTTAAATTTGGAGAATTTTTTATTTTGACCTACTTTTCGGACCCCATATCTCAAAAGTGGGGCAAAATACTTTCTGACGGCAAAAGGCTAACACTATTAGCACACTCTTGGCTACATGCATACAAAATTTCGAAGAATATAATTAATCTGTAGTGTCAGAATCGCAAAAATAAGGAAAAACTTTGAATTTGACCTAGATTTTGACCTAGGCATTTTGGTGTCCAAATTTTAAAGCTAGATGGCTTTTGAGGTCCCATTCTTTTAAAAGCTTTCATTATATTAAGCTGAACTCAGTCTATATTTCGTATTTTTCACTTCAATAAAATCTTTTTTCCCATTGACTTAACATGGGCTTCAAATTTAGCGATTTTTGAGCTTTCAAAACGCCATAACTTCAGAACCGGAAGTCTGATCCAAATTTTGTTTTCAGATTCGGAATCCTGAGAAAATTTCCTATAAGACTTATATCCTGGACATTTAATTCGGAGAACTTTTTTTTGGACCTCGTTTTCGGACACTGATATCTCGAAATCGGTTTGAGATATCAAAAAACTGAATCGACCCTAGATTTTCTACTTTTTTATAAGGAACTCAATGAAAAAAACCCGGATCGAAAATATCGAAGGACGACCGAGAAAATCGCAAAAAGTGACAAAGTACTGGATTTGACCTAGTTCT